TCCTTGAAAGCCTCTTTCAGCAAGGGATCTCCCTTAGATCGGGTGTATGTCCTTCTTGCTTTGAGGCATTCCTTTCTCAAGGAGGCCAGCTTTTCTGACCACCAGTGCAAGGATTTTTTCCTTGGAAAGGCTCCTTTGCGACGTGGCATCGACGCATTGCAAGCGGTGAAGATTATATTTCGCACCGCTCGCACCTCTCCATTTAGACTTTTCGGCCTCCTCACCCAACCAGAATCCTCAATTAAGATAGATTCTTCTAGGGACCGGCTGAACTTCTCCTTGTTGAGTTTCTTAATGTTCCACGAGGAGGTTTTGCGACTAGGAGCTTCCTGTCTTTTTCCTCCTCGTGTGTCTCCCATTGAGACTGAGAACTCAATGTACTGGTGGTCACTTGCGGTATATTCCTCAGAGACCCGCCAGTCGCTTATGCGGCTAAATATATTAGACGATGCGATCGTTAGATCTATAATCGATCCGATCGCACCTCGTCTAAACGTCCATGTTTTTCCCCGGTTTACAACTAATAAATCGTTCTTGGAGATCATTTCTCCAATCAGAATTCCTCTCTTGTCGAGCCCCGTCTCACCCCACTCTGGCGACTTCGCATTAAAATCGCCAGTGATGATGACATCCAGCTTGGATTCTATGAGGCTCGATTCTAGGTCTTCTATATTGGCTTCAAAGGTGGTCAGCGGGTCGTTGGGTGAGAAGTAGCAGCTATACATACGTATATTAGCCACCTCTATCCACACAAACCCGCTGCTTGTCTCCAAGAACTTGTCAACCCGCAATTCTGGGTTGCACAGCTTGATGGCGGCTCTCTTCGCCTTATCCTGATACCAAGGTGCGAGGTCGCTTCCTTGATACTGCTCACTGCAGAACAGGATATCGACCTCATTTTCCCTAGCTGTTTGCATCAGGAGCACCTGTGCATCCTTACTTGTATGCAGGTTGACTTGAAGGAGCTTTATGAATTTGCCCTTTTAAGTTTCTCCAGTTCCTCCTTGTAAACCGGGCAGGAAATTCTTCCAGGGATATGGTTGACTTCCGTTTTTCCCAAATCTGTACACGTTATGCACTTTGGCTTGTCACTAGTACACTTTTTGGAGAAGTGTCCCGCTTCGCCGCATCTCCGACAGTTTTTTGTTCTGTCGGGGCCCTTGCAAATTCGGGTCACGTGTCCATAGGCTAGGCACTTTTGACATCTTGCCACTTCTAAGTGCGTTCGGATGGATGCGTTTATCCAACCAATACGCACTTTGCCTAGCTTAAGCAGACTCTCGCTGTCCTTTTCACTCAAGCGTACTAGTGCCACTTTCGTACCACCAAAACGTGTCAGAAGTCGGCAAGTCACATCTAACTCGGGCTTTTGCAACTTCTGCTTTAAGACGGTTAAAACGTCCTCTTCTGAAGTTGTTTCGTCAAGTTTCCGAATTTCGAGGGTCTTTTTACTGACAAGAGCCGTAACCTCGGCCTTGTCCTGAAGAACGGAGGTAAGATTCTGAGCGAACTTTGAAGTTTCACCCCCCTTTTTTACCACAACGAGAACCTTTTTTTTAAGAGTTCTCCTAATTTTCACAATCTCTGTGCCAGTTTCCTCTGGATTTACCGAAGTTGTTGCCAGCTTTATAAGATCATAGTAGGTCTCTGGATTCCGGGCCGAAATTTTTATTGCCTCCGTTGTTCTAATTTTGGGGGGGCGCTTCTGAAGTCGCTCCCTCTCCTCCGCTTTCTTCAAGGCCTTTCTCTTACGGGCGTCCCGTTTCCTATTGGAGACGGTTTCAAAGTCTTTTTCGTTTTCAGGCTTATTTTCCACAGTTGCCTCCGAATAAGAAGCAACCTTGGCCGAAGCAGCCTTACTCACCTCCGTCTCCATAACAGTAGGGTTTGCCTTGGTCTCCTTGCTCTTAACCCTCTTACCCTTGGGAGTGGTCACAGTAGAATCAGTCTCCGGACCTTCATACTCTCTAGGGCGCTTCTTTGGGTCGATGGGCTTGCTCTCGCCAGATGTGGCGTGAGACATCGATCTAGGAATTTCAGGATTCGACTCTGGTTTGCTTGGGCTAATGAAGGGCCTAGGTATAAAACGCAGGTTACTGCGAAGCACCTCGTGCACCTTTCCCAATTCCACCATTCTATCCTGAACATCCTTCCTCGACATAACCGAGATTATGAAGTTCTCGACTTGCCGCCAATTCTCCTCTGACTGGGTCATCAGCGATACCATGTTCTCCGGTGTAACTTGACTGTTTACACCTTCGAACATGGCCTGCCTCTCCAAGTCCCATTTCTTGCATGAGAAGAGGGTGTGCTCCGCGTTGTCCTCAGGGAACTGGCAATATGCACACACCTCGTCCTCGCGTAATTTAAAGCGGCACAGGTACGAGTTAAAACACCCGTGACCTGTGAGCGCCTGAGTCAGATAATAGGAGACTTCTCCATGCTTTCGGTTTATCCAGGTGGTGAGTGTTGGAATCAGACGATAGGTCCATCTGCCCTTTTCCTCCCCATCCCATCTGTCCTACCATGTCTCGATAAGTCTGTTTCTCGCGTATTTGCGGATGCGGTCCTTGCTAGGTCTTTCTTCCTCTGGGTACTCGGGATTACTTCTTCTTTTAAAAAGAAGAAATACTTCCTCCCTTTCCCTTGCCATAAGATCTGCCGGCGGGACACTTGCAAGGACTTGCACAGCACTCGTCGAGACCGTCTTATACGCAGAGACGATACGGGTATTATTATTATTATTATTATTATTATTATTATTATTATTATTATTATTATTATTTTATTTTCTATTTTTTTGCTTAGGGACTTTTGGGAAATCTGCCTACAGATACCTTGGATTCCGCACTCCAAGGTTATGTGGGGTTGGTATGATAAAACAAAAGGAAATATAAAAAAAGAAAAATAAATAAATGTTATAATAATTTTAATAAACTGGCGACCTACTACCAGCCCGACCCACTAAAACCCGTAACCCTTCTTTTGGAGCCCTTTACCCTCCCTCGGAACTGTCGTAAGACTTTAGCCTTCGAGGGTGGCGCTCCAACTCTGTCGCTAATGCGACTTTCTGCTTTTCTCTGCGATTATCCTGCGTTAATAGTTAAAATTTTAAAACTATTTCAATTTAAAGCGGAATTAACAGCACAACAATAATTAAAAATAACAAATGTGTAATTAAGTGTAAAAAGTCAGAAGATAAAATTATAAACGGATATATAAAAAAAAGAAAAAATAAACGCGTATAAAAAAATTGAAAACATAAAACTGTACAAAGATGAATAAAAAAAACACAAACAATTAAAAAATGTATAAGTACAAATAAATCACAAAATAAATTAATAAAAAACAAACGAACAAAATTAAAATCTGTTTAAATTACGCTTTTTGGCGGCCGTCGAGATCCTTCCTTGACATAACCGAAATTATGAAGTTCTCGACTTGCCGCCAATTCTCTTCCGACTGGGTCATCAGCGATACCATGTTCTCCGGTGTAACTTGACTGTTTACACCTTCGAACATGGCCCGCCTCTCCAAGTCCCAATTCTTGCATGAGAAGAGGGTGTGCTCCGCGTTGTCCTCAGGGAACTTGCAATATGCACACACCTCGTTCTCGCGTAATTTAAAGCGACACAGGTACGAGTTAAAACACCCGTGACCTGTGAACGCCTGAGTCAAGTAATAGGAAACCTGACTGTGTTTCCTATTTATCCAGGTGGCGAGTGCCGGGATAAGGCGATAAGTCCATCGACCTTTCTCCTCACCATCCCATCTTTCTTGACATCTTTCTATGAGCCTGTGCCTCGCTTCTTTGCGGATCAGGCCCTTGCTTGGTCTTAATTCCTCATCCAAGGAACTTCTTTCTTTAGAAAAAAGAAACATTTCTTCCCTTTCCCTCGCCAAAAGATCTGCTGGCGGGACACTTGCAAGGACCTGCACAGCACTCGTAGATACCGTCTTATATGCAGAGATGATACGCGTTGTTATCGATCTCTGCGCCGACAGTATCTTTTCACAGATGGTCACACATCTTTTGCACCTCAGGGATGGGGCCCACGCTGGTGCTGCATAGAGCATTTTAGCGTGGGCGACACTCGCCACCAGTCTCTGTTTGTGTTCACGGGGTCCGCCTACATTTAGCATTAACCGTGAAAGATTAGCCGCACACTCGATCGCCTTATTTGACGCCCTAGCCATGTGGTGGTGGAAGTTTAACCTTCCATCCAACTCCACACCAAGATATTTAATTTGCTTACTCTACTTGACCTCGAATCCGTCTATCACGATTCGTGGGAGCTCATAACCACGTCTGTCTGTGACCAGCAGTGCCTCGGTCTTTTCCAGGGCCATTTCAAGACCTCTGGTATCCAGCCAGCTTTTTGCTAGTCGCAGACATTTGTTCACCAATGTCCCAAGAGCCTCCTCACTTTCGGCAGTGCACACGAACAACGCGTCGTCCGCAAAGCCGATGATCACCGCACCTTCGGGTAGATCCATTCGCAGAAAATCATCGTAAGATACATTCCATACAAATGGACCCACCCTCGAGCCTTGATTATTATTATTATTATTATTTATTATTATTATTATTTTTTTTTATTATTATTATTATTTATTATTATTATTATTTATTATTATTATTATTATTAGTTAATTTATTAGTTAATTAGTTAATTAATTAGTTAATTAATTTAAAAGAAAAAGTAAGAAAATTAAAAATTTTTGAAAAATATAATTTTTGGTTTTATGATTAATTCATTTTTTTTAAGGTTGTCGCTCCTTTCTGCCTCCTTAATTTTATAATATAAATAAAGGTTATAATTTTTGTTTTCAAATGTATAAGTAATAATTAATATTTATTTAATAAATATTTTAAATAATATTTAATAAATATTTATTATTAAAATAATATAATATATATACAAACCAAATGATAAATGCATCCTATAAATTAATAATTATTAAAATTCATTAAGTATAGGGATCTGAAATCATGACGTCACAAAACAATATGGCCGTCGACAACGGGGTCAGTTTTTAGTAAACACATGCGAATTGACAGTAAATTTTAAAAATTAGTTTCAAAACATTAAAAAATCATGATCAGTATAGCTGAAATATGTCGCTTTAGTAATTCTACACCTTCGTGTAGAAATTTTACAGAAGGAGAGAAAGTGTTACGTGCAAAACATGTAATATATTGTGGAAAGAAATCAAACGAAAATTCCTTGGTTGATCCAAAGAATGTAAACATAATTGCTTTTTGTTTAAAATCATCGGGAATTAGAGAAAACCCACATGAAATAACAGGTCTAATTAACGATAGCAATATTGTAAATATGAAGTGCAGCTGTAAAGCAGGAATGAGTGAAAAGTGCAAACATGTAATTGCAGTTCTATTTCAATTACACGTGTAAGTATGCATATATATCTTTCAAAAATAATTATTATTTTATAAAATGACACATTAAATTGGGAACAAAATTTGAATCTAAAATGTTTTTAACGTTTATTTTTTTAATTTAATTACCTAGAAATACTTTTTCCCTTTGATAAAATATAAACACAATATATTCTAATTTATAGGTTATGTTGACTTATTTGTTATTATCATTGCTGAAAATTAACGAATTATTTTAATAATCGCTGTTTCTGCATGGCATGTTTAAAATTTTGATTTCAAAGGATTAGTTTGTTAAATATTTATAAGAATAATTTTTTAATTTGACAGAACTGAAGCAGAAAATCTAGACGTTACAGCATGCACAGACACTAAATGTCTGTGGAGCGTACCTCAAAAAAAAACATTGGAAACTTACAATCCACTTCCATTAAGGAGTCATGAATGTTTTACAAACTCTTTTAATCAAGAATATCCAGTGCATATTTCCGAAGAAGACCAAGAATTTATAAAGGATCGACTCTACAACGTTAATTTAAACTCATCTCTAACGAAACATCTGTACGCTGTTAATAGTTCTTAAAATCATATATTTAACTTATTTAATTAACTTTAAAATTGAATTTTTTCAATTTGCACTCAAATCAATTTTTACAGTTTTAATATATATCATACATATTATTATAATATATATATGTATGCATATTTTGATACATTTTTATATTTGATTTCATCATTCTAAGTAAAATTAATTTATTAGGTACGGACGACACGAAGAAATTGTTCCGGATATACACAATAATAATAATAATAATGTAAACGAAAACTTTGCACAACTCCAAGCTCTATTAGAAAATTTACCTTCCCAGAGTATGAGTAATCTTGAGAATGAATCAATTGAAGAAGAGATTAAATCGTGCTGTCAATCCTTTTTAAATAGAATCACTGAGGAGACTAGTGTTATTTGCATGGATACTCAATGTAATCGACAAAAGTGGTTTAATGCTCGTCAATTTCGAATTACTGGTTCTCGTTGTTATAGAATTTATACTTACAGTAGTAATACGAATGCTCAATGGGAAGCTAAATCTTTGAATTTTTTCTATCCAAAGGCATTTCATCCAAATGTCGCAATGAAGCATGGTATTACAGAAGAAGAAAATGCACGCAAAGCTTATGTCGAAAAAATGAAACTCGAAGTATTTCAATTTGGCTTGATTGTTCCAAAAGAAAATCCATGGCTTGGTTATTCTCCGGACGGAATTGTTTTTGAAAATGGAAAGCCAGTAAAACTTATTGAAATTAAGTGTCCTTTTTCGGGTAAAGAAAAAACTGTTCAAGATATTCTTGCAGATTTAAAATTTATTAAATTTCCTGAAATTAAGTTAAGAGAAAAGCATGCATATTATGGCCAAGTGCAATTGGGCATGGCTATTCTTAATCTCGAGTTGACAGACTTTATAATTTATTCCTCTTTCGACAAAAGCTTTGTGATCATTACAGTGGAATTAAATTTAACTTTTGTTAGAGAAATGTTAAAAACATTAAAAAAAACATATTTTTGTAAAATGTTGCATTTTGCTTGCATTCAAGAAGGATTGTCAAATGAATAAAATCATAAAAAAAATTTTATTGTAAATTATTTACTTATTTTGTTTTATAAACCTTTAATATAAAAACATTTTTTAAACAATAATAATTCAGTTTTACTGAATTGTTTACATATTAAATAATAAATTGCAATATATTAATGCTGAGATGACTGGATGACAAAAAAGGTTTTTTTTATTTTCTATCCTTAGATGCGTATGTCCTGCACGATGCCAAGGTTTTTCATTGCGATTGTAAAACATCTTGATCAGGGAATCTTTCATCACTCAAAATTGGAGCACTTAAATTGACAACTGCAGATATAATTGTCATTATATTATCGCATTTTTTTACCAAGCAAGAAGGCATTTTATTTCCGAGGATTTGAAAGACTTTCAGTCTCTGATTTAGTCTTTCAATATGCACTCTTGCAGAAGCAATATTGCAATTATTTAATGCTTCAGCTTGAGAGAATTGAGACTTTTGTCTAAGAAACGGTGGTCGGACAATTTTTATGCCGTGCTGAAAACACACGTCATCTATGAGAAAACCCTTATCCACCATTAGTTTCTCATTATTATTCAATAATTGAATGATTCCACTTTGCTCGAAAATTGCCTTATCGGAAACACGTCCTCCATATGCAGGGCTTACGTAGCTAAGCAGTCCACCAGGTGTACACGCTGTGAGAAATTTTAACGTAAATCTTCCTTTGTACAACGAGTAAGTCAATAATTGGCAACACAAACTTTGTGGCTTTTGAATCTCGATTTCCGTACAATCTAAAATTAGAGCAACATCTGAATAATCTTTGAAACAAAAAGGAATATTTCTTCGAATTTCCTCACTTTGAGGAAAGACAATTGCGAATTTTAGGGCATTCCCTAAAATGTCCAAAGTATTGCAAATAATATTTGGAATATGCCTCTCAGAGACTGATTTGAACAATACATTGAGAAAGGCGTAGCTGTCATTTAATTTTAACTTCATAAAAGTTAAAATTATCCGATCCCGAACAGATAATTTACCCGAGTAAAATTTAAATCGTGGAGTCAGCCTTTCAACTATCTCGACAAACATATCCAGCATTTGAAAATTTGGAATACCAGTAGAGCTCTTCAAATCCATTTCTGTCTTTAAAAACGAAGAAAAATTCGAATCTGACAAATCTCCACTTTTAACTTGAACTCCGATGTCTACATAAGTTGGAATTTCATTTTCAACTTGATTTTGAGGTAATTCCAAAGATTCAACAGCTTCCTGGTTTTCTTTCGAATTTATTTCAAAATTCAAATTTTGTACTGAAATTTCAGAGTTGTCTTGCTGAATTTGCCGATCTACTCTTCGTTGTTCTCGCGCTTTCGATTTTTCTTTTAATTTTTGTTCAGTACTTGACGTAATTGGCAATGGTAAATTGCAAGAAGGCACGGCGGTGGGATTTAAATAACGCTTTCCAGCATGGTTTTCTAAAAAAAATAATTTAAATTACTTTTTTTTAAAATTATTATGAATATTACGAATATTTTCTAATTTAAACTGCTACGTAAATTTTGACAATTTTTATTAATTTGAGGTTATGAAAATAAAAAATTTGATATATTATTTTTAAAAAATACATTAAACATTCAATTTAACATTTTTTTAGATTTTGATAAATTGAATTTTATGTACATATTATGTTTATAAATGAAAACACACAAACTTACCTGCTGGTAATGTGTAATCTGCCTGCGAAAAATGTAAAGAACACACACACATATTTGCAGTTACTTTTTTACCCATTCGTAATACTCTTTCCCATTGCTTTCTACGTTCTATGATCTCTTCAATTCCGCTTTTATTTATTACTTTTACAAAATTTTTATTTGGTGGAGGAAATTGATGAAACCTTATATCCAAGTTAACACAAGCTTTACTTGAGCAATTAAAAACTGAACAATATCGCTTGCTCTTTGTTTTTTTTGGACTGAATTTCATTCCCTGAATGTTTTTCTCTCCATTAAAATCACTCATTTTTATATTTCACTTTAAATTAAACAATAATTAAATATTAAAAACAGAAAATTTAGGCTGACACATTCGTAAACAAACGTAAAGTTTTGAATCTGACCCAGTTGTATTAGTTTGTCAATCTGACACCAGATAGCGTGTCGCTGTATTTCAGATCCCTATAATTTAATAATAATTGTTTATTAATTATTATTTTTAAATTCATAATTTTTATTTTTAAATAAATGTATAATAATTATTTATTTAATAACTATTATTATTCGTTATTTATAATTTAGTTGTTATTATTAATAAATAAACTTTATTATAATATTGTACTTAATGAAAAAAAATTATATGTATTTTCGTTTTTTAAATATATTACCATAATTATTTTATAAAGTGTTTTAAAAGAACACGCTTTTTTAACTTAAATAACTGTTTTAAAAAAGTTAATTTAAAAAAATTAAATTTGTTTACATGCTTTTAAAACGAGGAAAACTGTCGAGGCCCTGATCAGAGCCCTATTTCATATCTAGTTTTGGCCAGAATTTCTGGTCAAACCCATAAGATAAAAAAATTCTTAAAAATGTAGCATAATTACTCCGTTTAAGTAATTTCTTCAATTGTTTATAATTTTATTAAAGGAACAATTTAAAAAACTTAATTCATTTACACTTTATTCAAACGAGAAAAACTGTCGAAGCCCAGATCAGAGCCCTATTTAATATCTAGTGAACACCTAACTTGGGGTTTTGGCCAGAAATTCTGGTCAAACCCACAAAATAATAAAATTATTAAAACGATAGTATAATTACTCCCTTTAATTGTATTCTTCAATTGTTCATTATTTTTTATTAAAAGTAATTTTAGAGATTTAATTTTTTTACACTTTATTTAAACAAGGAAAACTGTCGAGGCCCTGATCAGTACCCTATCTAAAATCTAATGAACACCCTACCTGGAGTTCTGGCTAGGAATTCTAGTCAAACCCCTAAAATAAAAAAATTATTAAATAACTAAAATAATGATTGCCTTTCATTGTTAATAGCTTCTACAACAAAAAGGAATTCTAAAAACTTTATTAAAAAAAAAAATTTTAATAGGGAAAACTGTCGAGGCCCCGACCAGAACCCTGTTTTAAATAGGGCAAAGTGGGGCATTTTCTGCACGGGTACATACATCCAGACAATTGTTCAGGGTACTCTTATATAACATAGTCCTATATAGAAGAAAATTTGTTTAAAGGATTTTAAAAAATTTTGTTAATTAAACGACTACAAAGCTTCCTCCACAAGGAAGCAAAAACAATTAAAAATTATTATTTTTTGTAAATTTCTTAATTTATAATTTTCATAGTTAACAATACCCAAGTAGCACGTGTCGTTACTGTAATGTCACTCTAATGTAATCTAACTTCATATTCTGAATCAGCGACCTCGAAAACCCCCGAGCAACAAGTTTTAAGCGAGTCCGATGAATTCAAAAAATACGTCCGCCATTTTGGATCCGCCATTTTGAATTTTGAAAATCTGACTTTAGATTCGTCATCAGCGATCCCCAAAACCCAAGTGTACCCAATCTCACAAATTTTGGTCGCAAAAAAATTTCTTAACATTTTGGACCCACTTTATAGTATTTTCTCCTCACAGCGAAGGGGTTAAGAGCACTTCGAGTAACATAATATAACTTTTTTAATTATGTTTGAGTAGTTGAGATATAAACTGCGAATACTTTTTGATAATTGTTTAAAAACTTCTTCTTATTTAAGAAAATCAAATTTTTTTATTTTCAGGAACATTTTGTACTTTGGATATTTGCATATCGCGACTGGAGGACACGAGTACTGTAGATATCCGAGGAACAGTTGAAAGAATTCGAACACAGAGGGCTTACAGTATTCAAATGCCAGACCAATATGTCTTTTGTCATCGTGCACTGGCGGAATATGCACTTTCCAGAGGGATTCTGAGTCCACAGCATCTTGCCATGTTACCACCCACAATCGAAGAGGACTCCGATTAGGTTTATAATTTTTATTAGAGAAACGAACACAATTTTAGATTGATATACTTACCATAAATAGGTATATTCTTGAATTTCCCTTCCATTTTTGTCAGGTTTGAAACCAAATCATCGCACAGATAACGAAAGAAAAATAATGTCATTATTATCATTGTCATTTTTCTAACTTTCCAATATTTCTCATGTTCTCGTAAGTCGGCCTGTTAGCTAGGGAAGACAAAGAAAATCCCCGTTAAGTTTCAAAAATATAACAAATCATTAAATGCAAATCAATCAAAATGAATGGATCAAACAGAATAACCAAGTTGCGTACCATGGTGAAAAAGAACCTAAAAGTTTCCGAATTGCGTACAAGGATTTATTATACTTGAACGTATGACTCCTCCGTTCTTTTTTCCCTTTATGTTTCCCTTCAACTGCTGAGAGGGGATTTAACTAGAGATAAGGGCTTCCTAACATATAATTTTATTATATTATGTTCTAATTCACTTTAAAATAATAATAATAATCTACCTTTGGAATAATAACAAAAGAATTATTGTCTTAAGGACATGTCCAAGTTGTGAAATGTAAACAAACCAAAAAGTAAACAAACCAAGCACTAAAATCGCAATTTTGCGACAGCCGATTCTCCCGCAAAAATTAACATTTTTACCCTTTCTTTAAAAAAAATGGAAAATTAGAGTGTCAAAGTTTCCAATAAAATTATTTTTGACTATGAGCAATAAAAAGCAATTAGTAAAATAACTAATTAAAATGACCTCTAAAATAGCATTTTTGACGCGTCGTGAAAAATAAACTGTTTGAGTATATCAACCGCACTGACGATGAAGAAGTCTCATGTGAGCGATTGGACCTTCAACATGTGGAAGGGGAAATTTTTCCCTTTCCTCCTTGAAATTACAAGAGAAAGGGTAAAAACTTCTTCATCGTCCGTGCGGTTGATATAGCCAAACACTTTAATTTTTCGCGACGTGAACTCTTTTGCTCTCTGCGCGTGCGTACACCGCACCAAGGTCGCAATGACATCGCCATGCAAAAAGGCACATTTTGTTTTCGACTGAAACTTACTTGTTTTCTCATGCTTTCAGCTAAGCTAGGTATAGTTACCAAATTCATTACGTCAGTTTACCATTTCCATAAAAAAATGTGAATTTATGTTTATTTAAGCAAATGAGAAGTTCGAAAAAATGCTTCACTATTTGATCTATAATGAAGCATTTTTTCGAGCTTCTCATTTGCATAAATAAATATAAATCCACATTTTCTTTATGGTAATAGTAAACTGACGTATTGAATTTGGTAACTAAACCTTGCATAGCTGAAAGCATGATAAAACAACTAAGTTTCAGTCGAAAACAGAATGTGCATTTTCGCATGGTGATATTATTGCGACCTTGGTACGGTCTGCGCGCGCGCAGAGAGCAACAGAGATCACGTCGGAAAAGTAGTCACTAGGTCATGGCCGTATATACACAGCGTAACGCAAGTATAAGTGCCAACGCTGAACATTGAAATTGAAAACGTCGGAAAAGTTAAAGTGTTTGACTATATCAACTGCACGGACGATGAAGATGTTTTTACCCTTTTCCTTGGAGGAAAGGGAAAAATTTCCCCTTCTACATGTTGAAGGTCCAGTCGCTGACATGAGACTTCTTCATCGTCAGTGCGGTTGATATAGTCAAACAGTTTATTTTTCGCGACGCGTCAAAAATGCTATTTTACAGGTCATTTTAATTAGTTATTTTACTAATTGCTTTTTATTGCTCATAGTCAAAAATGATTTTATTGGAAACTTTGACACTCTAATTTTCCATTTTTGTTAAATAAATGTAAAAATGTTAATTTTTGGTGGAGAATCGGCTGTCTCAAAATTGCGATTTTAGTGCTTGGTTTGTTTACATTTCACAACTTGGACATGCATGATATAAATCCATTAATTACGTAAAGTTTTAAGGAGGGAAGGGGAATCTAATTATTTCTTACAATCAGCAGAAAAAATGGGTTAATATTTTGCATAGGAAGGAAGGGGTGGGGTAAAATTGAAGCAAGTCATTAATGAACAAACGGTAAGTATTTTTTTAAATGGATCCAAATGTATTTATTACTCCTCTCCCTATACTCACTGTAAAAGAATAAAGGACAGATGTTTTGCTTGGCTCGAGGGGGTAATTACTGGTTAAAATGGTGTACACTCTAATACACTAAATTTTCCTGCTATTACGCGCATTATCTAGTATTATAGGGTATTACAGAACTATTACAGAGTATTACTGATTATTACAGAATATTACCTCTGTATAATGCTCTATTACACTTTATTACGTGATTATTACGGGAGGAGCGTACACGCTAATACACAAGTAACCCCCTCGGCTTGGCTACTTGCGCAACTAATAAAAATTAAATAGGGTCCCATACGCAATTCGGAAAAAACTTATCCAAGCTGCACAACTTGGTATCACCTGGATTAATCAACATGATTCGGAAAAGTCTCTCCTTTTTTTACAAACTATTGCAATCAGAAAATTAATTTCCAAAATTCTATTTAAGGAAGAATCCGACAAACACTCGGAACAAAATTTAATCCAATACCATAATTTCACATTTTAAAAGAAAAGGTCAAATAAAATTTTTAATTCTTTTTGGTAGAAGCGTAAGGAATTAAATTTTCTACATTTTGAACAATTTAAAGTTTATATTTCAATAATAATTATAATTTCTAGTCGATAATAAATGATTTAAGTAATATATCCTAAAATTTAACAAATGTTTCTTATTGACAGAAAATTGTAATTTTTATTCAAATGCAACTTTTAATCGTTTTAAAAGTTCAAAATTAAATTTTTCGCATTTCCACCAAAAAAATTCAAAATTTAATTTGTCTTTTTCTTTTAAATTATGAAATTATGACATTGGACTAACTTTTGTTTTGACTGTCCGTCTGATTCTTCCTTAATATATTTATAATATTATTTTTAGTAGACTAGGAATTAAATTCCTTTCCGTCGAGATTTAAGATTTTTTATAAATGAAAGAATATATTGAGAAACGCAATTTGGAAAGCTTGACCCAAAAAGTTGACGAATTTAACAAAAGACTAAACTTTAAGCAATTAAAGGCTAATTTAAATAGCGTCTTTTTAAAAAGCGAATACGAGAGAATTTAATTTAATTTCAAGTTTTCCCCAATTTATTAGCAAAATATTTGAAGAGGATAATGCAATTTTTAATAAGTAACAATTTTTTAAAAAGAATTTGTAACATAAAACAGACAGATATTTTTGGGTAACCAAAGAATGCTTCCTACCCACATAGCACAGTTTTTTCCGGGAAGTTTCCAGGAAGTTTCCCACGTTAAGTTCGGAAATTTGACGTGTTAAGTTCCTGGAAACTTCCAGGAAACTTGATATGTCTCAAGATTTAAAGTTTCCACTGTTAACTTCCAGGAAATTATCAATGGAATTTTCCTGGAAAAAGGACTGGAAATTTCCTGAAAAATTTAAGGAAGTTTTTTTGGAAGTTTCTCTAAAATTATTTCTGTTAATTTCACTATTGTTCAGTAAATTGTTTTAGAAAATTTCCTCTAAAATAGAAACGAAAGTTTCTTGTATAATTTATTCGTTAATATTATATTAATTATTATTTAAAATAATAATAAATATTTAATACGTATACAAAATGGGGTTTTTTCATAAAAATAAAATTAAAAAAATTATTTAATTAACTTATTTATACTTTTCCCGCAGTTGTTTCTACTATTTTTGTTTTTGGAAACCTTATATTAAAGAAGACAAACTTGAAAATAAATTCGGGGGAACGGGGGATCGAACGCGGGTTTCGACGGACGCAACGCAACTACCTAACCAACTACGCTAAACTAATATGTGTGTAGAGGAAAAAAATCTTTCTCTTAAGGTACAAGTAATCTTAATGGTTGGTAAATATGAATGGCGGGATAATTTAAAAATTTTATTCTCACAATTCAAATATTTCTTATATATAATTGTTAGAATTTCATTTTTATGGAGATTAATAATTTTAAATAGTGCTTATTACTGATTATTTTATACATATGAGAATAATTAAACAAGTAATACAAGCAGTTTTAATACGTGAAATTAAGATATATTAAATACAAGTTTTTCTTTACTAGATATAATTCTTTTCATTGAAATAGTCTTCCTATTGAAATTGAAATCAATATTAAATGCATTTATTTTTAATAAATGCATTTAATATTATTATTATTTTAATAATAATTAATAATTGTAATAATAGAAATTAAAAAAATAATATATCATAATAATATTATTATAATTTACTCGCGCTAACGTTCGTTCGGTTGTATTTAAAGTTACTTGTTTTTATTTATTAATTTGTTTTTATTATATTTTGAGATAAGTAAATATTCACTGGACATAAATATTGTAATTTTAATTAATTACTATTATTAACTATAATTATCTTCGCACTTCATTCTTTCATTCATGCCACAGTTTGACGTTATAGTTGTTGTGTATGCTTTTGCTTTTTTTTCTTCGGAAAATATTGGAAAATATTGTTTGAAAAATCGAAAATATGCAGGTATTTTTTAAGATTTATAATAAAATAATATTTGAAATTAGAAAATTTAAACAAAAAGTTATGATTAACAAATAAATTTTGTTTTTATATGCTTTTTTTACAACAAATTTCGCTTGACTGATCTTTAAGTAATTCTCATTCTGTAGAAAATGACCTTTAAAATAAGCTCAAGAGCATTAAAAAGTGTTCATAATTTTAGAAATTATTCAAATTTATGAAAAACGTTGAAAATGACGATTTTTTAAGAATATTTTGAAAAAATACTGTCCAAATGACTTCTGTAAGGTCTTATTCTTTTCACAATTTTATCATCTTTCAAAAAATAAAAAGAAAAAAATTTAATTTGCATAAAATTTTGTTTTAAAAGTTTTTTCATTCACCTGAAAATGAGTGGTCTTTCAATTTTGACCGGTAGTGTATTTCTAATAATAATAATTAAACAAAATACATACAATTTTAATTAAATTCGTTAAAAAAATTTGATAAAGAAAAAATTTCACATTCTACAAAGAAGTGAAAAATTCGTCAATTTAGATGAATTTTTTTTAAACAATATTATCACAAAACAAATTTGAGTTCGTGAAAATTTGAACTAATTAAAACAAAAGTGATACAAATTTTCTAAAAATTAATTTTTAAATAACACAGGTCAACAAAAAAAGACTAACTTTTTTTTATGAGATATCGGAATGGTTTCCGATGTATTTTTGGACGCTGAACACGATCCCGACTTCCAAAATTGCCCATCACGTCAGGATTTTGAGAAAAGTGGGGGTAAAGACCCCAAAAACGCTTTCTTGAGGATTTTCAACATTTTTTTTCTCTTTAACCTGACGTGCTAGAGACTTCCACAAGGTCTTAAATTAAAGCTTGTAATGTGCACTACAAGACCCATATCCATAAATTAAAAAAAATTAAGATTTTTTTTAAAAAATGGGGTTGAAGACACTAAAAAATGTGTGTTTTTGGATTGCTTTAATAGACTTCTTGCAATTGCTTGGATTCGATTGAAAATGGTTACTTAGGGTTTTTGGGGTCGCTGATTACAAATCCGATATTAGTTTTCAAA